AGAGGCTGTGCCGGACAGCCTGGGCCACAAACAGGTTTTATCAGTGCAGACGTGGAAAACACAGAGCTTTGGGCACTGCCGTATTGCAGTTCTCTTATATTAGTGGTGAAAGGTCAAATGTCCTGTGGGAACTGGAAAGCTGACAAATGGGACCCACTAAGAGAAGGGTTACATGCTTTAGCTGCTCAGACATCTCGGCCTCTTACCCTGGTGCTGGTCAGTCTCTGAGCAGAAGCCGTGATGTGCAGTGACCTCATTGCTGTTGGCAAGCCATACCCAAACTCACTAACCCTTAGGCCCTGTTTGCACATCAGCCTTTTACACAATGACCAGCACGCATAGTGAGTCACATCCTACTAGTCCAGGGAGTTTGTCTGAGGAGACACCTCAAATCTGCGCTTTAACAAACAGAATTAAAAACCTTTCCTTGGGGCTATTTCTCTCTCATCCCTCCTTTCTTCCTTTCCTCCTCCCTGTGCCCCCTCTTTTACCAAACCCGCCAGGCGGTTTGCTTTCTGGCCGTGCAGGGCAGCGCAGTCCCACGGCCCCACCAGGCTATGCCCAGGTGCCCCTGCAACCAGAGCCCTTTGCTCCTGCAGAGCAAGGGGCAGAGGCGAGGGGTACCTCCAGTGCTGCCCCTGGTGATCATCCTCTGTGGGTAAAGGCAGTAGAGGCTGCTTAATGAAAAAAACCAAAACCATATATACCTAGAGAAATCAGTACCTTCAGCAATGAGGCTTAGTGCCATGCCTGGGGTGGGCATCCCAGAGGGGTGTCCCCTGGCAACTGCTCGCCCTTGCAGAATCCCCGCCACCCATTCACCCAGGGTTGAAGCCTCACAATTCCTGCCCTACGCCACAGGAACAGGGACCAGCACAGCCAGGGAGCATCGTAGCTGTGGCTGTGCTTTTCAGGGACAGCCCTCTGGGGCTCATTTTCTGTTTCACCTGAAAATCAATCCTGCAAGTGAGTCTACCAGCATGGGTGTATTTTATATTTTAAGCTAATAATGAAGGATATTTTCACAGACAGAGAAATATCACCTTTTCACCAAGTATAATAGCAGAACTGTTTCTAATGCTTCCAGCCAGACAGAGGTGGGATCCCATGAAAAAAAATCAAGTAAATTTGTGTCCAATGTGTTTTTAATCTCTACAGGGAGTTGCCCATGAATAAGTGGCAAACCAAGAATTATCACACAAATCAATGGATGAGCAGAGGCAAGCGACAAATTACACACTTATACTGGATTAGATTCTCTAAAGACAATTAGCTAAAGATCTTCAAGTCAAGACAGTAAAAAGAAACATGAACATGCCTGCTTTCCTCAGGTTTGTGGCAAGGCGGCGAGGATGTGAAGAGGTTTTCTGTACACCCCAGAGTGGTTAGTGCTTGCTCCTGGCAAGTTGGCATCTCCCGCTGAGTCAATGAAAAGAACTTCTGGCCCATGAGCTGGTACCACTGCATGACTGAACCTGGGCCTGGCCACACAGTAAGGCGGAGGTCTTCATTCACTCTTCTCTTACCATTCTGGTATCTCTTTGGTTTTGGCCATGAATGCTAATAAACCCAATGAGAATTAGAAAATCACTTAGAAGAGGAGCAGCGGAAGGAGTCTCCCCCTTATGGGAGCATTTGCTTTAATTTAAACTATCTAAAGATAATAAATAACAGGGCTCCATAATGACATAATTTGTTCATCTTCTTGGTTTCGAAGTATTTTTTAACAAGCAAAATGAGGTTTCAAACATGTCTGTGATATCTCCTCTGGATTAAATATTAATCGTGATGCCAAAGTAATAAATACAGAAATCCTGCCTGGTTGTTCTGACATGCAAGTCCTTAATTGTGTGGGAAGCTGCTCAGCTGGGTTTCAGT